CCCCAAAACCCCAAAACCCCAAAACCCCAAAACCCCAAAACCCCAAAACCCCAAAACCCCGAATTTGTACTATAAATTTGAACTTTTTTTTAGATTTTTTGTTATAATTTTGAGTTTTGGGGGATTGTGGGTTAGTAAGGTAAGACTAGTGGCGAGTTAGGGATCCTCTGGATCGCTAGTTATTAATTGATTATTAATTACACCATTGGGTACCGAAAGAGGAGTATAATACTGAATTACTAAAGAAGTCGAATCTATCTTTTTCGCTGCTTATTTCCAGCGTTCTTCGTATATGGTCAAGGTTCTCAGTTTTTTTATCAAAGCTGATGTGTTTGAGGAGGACAGGGATATCTAGAGTCTGGTTGATATTTTTGGATCTGTTTTATTGCCCTCAAGTATTAATCCTGTGCCTAATTACTTATGAAAGCAGAAATTACTTTTTAGGGATTCCAGCATCCTTCATTGGCTTGTTTCACTGTCTGTCTGATCTGAGATGTTGTCTCATGAGTCAGGATAATTTTGCCAGATTGAAATTGATACATTATAAATGCTATCTGATTTTATTTTTCAAGAATGGATATCGTTGCTTTTGGCTTGCTCTTCATAGGTAATTGATATACTTGGCTGCTTTGCCATTAGGAAGAATATATATTCTTTGAAACTATCCACATCTTGCATTTGATTAAAGGTATAAGTCTTAGATACTCTCACATTGATGCCTTCGAAGCATGGCTTAACAAAGATCTTGAAGCCATTATAGTGAATCTCTTCTGTCTCTCAGAAGCTTATTTCAGGAGGGGAATAATTTCCATGCTGCTCTTCGTCATCAAATGCTTCATCTCTATATAAAGTTAGAATCTTTTCAAAAATATAATCACAACTCTAAATACTTACGCTTCATTCGAATGCTGAATTTCAGATTGTTCCCATAACTCAGTAATTTTTTCTGCAAAATTAAATTCGTCCATTTAAAATTTTGATAATTTAATATTCCAAATTTTACTTCTTTATATCAAGAATATTTTTCATGTACCAAAAAATTTTACCCAAAAAATTTAATTTCAAATCCCTATAGTTTACCTGGGACTGCATTTTTATTTTTTACATGAAAACCTCTAACTTCCCTTCAAAACCCCTCTACTACTTCCCCTCAACAAACCCACAGATCCATCCATCACCCAAGCCTAAAACGTCCCTTCAAAATCCCACGACCAATCCTCTCTGCCAAGAAGAAGGAACGAACAAGTAGAGTTCTAGAGTAGGAAGAGAGGCTCGAATTTGGGTGGAAGCTTTAGAATGGAGGGCTTTGAGAAGGAAATTAAGAAGGTATTCAATAGGGAGGAATTGGATAGGGGTTTTGGGGTTTTGGGGTTTTGGGGTTTTGGGGTTTTGGGGTTTTGGGG